CCTCCCCACCCCGGCAACTAGATTGAAGACAACAACTTGACCTGAGCTGCCGGTGGGCAGCCGAATGGCTTAGTTGGTCAGAGCGGGTGCTCTTAACAACAGGGTTGCCTGTTGGACTCCCGCATGGGATGGTGGGCTGCGCCCCCCGCAACTAGATTGAAAACAGCAACTGGACTTGGAGCTGAGCTGCGCCCTCCACAAATAAGATTGAAGGACAACAACTTGACTTGGAGCTGATGGGTCCTGGAAAAAACACATTGTTCCCCAATAAAGTTTAAAAAAAAAATGGTGGGGAGGAGGGCGTTGGTGCAATTTTAGATGGTTTTGAACAGGAGGCCTCACTGAGAAGGTGTCATTTAGATCAAGACTTGCAGGAAACTCAAGAGCTAGTCATGCATATATCTGGGGGAAGCACAAAGGCTAGAGGGTGAGGGTTGAGGGAGGAGCTGCACCTTGCAAGTAGCTGGAACAGAGGACCGGAAGAGTAAAAGGAAATGAAGGGGGAAAGGTGAGGATGCAGGTATTGTGAGGACTTGGCTTTTACTCTGATTGTTGAAAGTTGAAAGTCATTGGAAGTTTGTAAGTACAGGAAAGACATGATCTGACATGGCTTTGGCCAGAGGGTTGAAAAGATGAAGGCAGAAAAGGATGGAAGCAAGGAAACCAGTTAAGAGGTGATTGAAGGAATCCAGGCAAGAGAGGTGGGGGCTTGAGCCAAGCTGGAAATAGTGGAGATGGTGAGAAGAGGTTGATGTCTGGATCTATTTTGAAGGTAGAGACAACAGGATTTGCTGAGTGATTGGGGATGTGTGAGAGTGATGTCAAGGTTTGCACTAAGACTTTTGAGTTGAGCAACTGGGAAAATGAAATTGCCATTTATTGGAGATGAGGGAAGGCTGGGAGAAGCATATCTGGAAGGAGGCAGAAGGAGGAGGAAGCAAGGGAGTAGTTCCAGCTCAGTTTAGGACATTTAACTGAGATAATTTAATTGCTAGTTTAAGAGCAAGAGAAGAAATTCAGATGAACTCAACAAATATTTATTCAGTGCTTACTAGTGTCAGATCCCATGTTAGACCATGGAGATGCAAAAATAAATGACATGGCCGTTACAGGATTCACACAATATTAAAAAGATGTGAGTAGTTACAACCTAAATTATTAATCAGCTATACTTTATTTCTCCAAGAGAGTTTTTGCTCTCATCTAGACTGAGGTTACACATAATTTTTACTCTGTTTTGAAGATTAGTGCCTTATCTGTCTCTCAGTTTTAAACCCAGAGATAATGTCTCTCATCCAGAAATAGGCTTCTGGATGACCATTGCAGAGCTCTGAAGTTTAGAGTACATACCCAACATGGTGATTGCCTCAAAAACTTGTGGGGACCCCCCCCACCCCCCATAGGCTTGATAGAATTTGGTCGGGTTGGGGGGCAATTGTGACCAGTAAACTATTTTTCTGCTTCTATTCTGGGTTACCTATATATGTAAACTTCAGTTTTAAGTCATCAGTTGAAACATGGATAGTAGTCTGACAAACACTTTGGTAATTTCATATTAAACTAGATGATGCGTTCAGTGGTAGGCATAGAACTGCTTTTTGTTCACTTTGCCTAATGTATAATATTTTTTCCTGTTCTTTTCTTCCTGCCTTAAACTTTATTCTTACAGTACTGTCCTCAATACCCTTGCTACATTTTCTCTTCCATTAGGGCAAATACTAGAGCCATAACCTTGGAAACCAGGTCACAGAAAGGCTCAGAAGTTTAGGAGTGTAATATCACTACTAATATGTCTGTCCATGATTTTCAACCCAGGGATCATGAACAATCACTTATCTGAAAACATTTACAACAATCTAGTGATTGGCATGAGACTTACTTTTGTTTCCCCTTCACAGTGAAGCCATGTCCCTGGAGGGAGATGAATGGGAGCTGAGTAAAGAAAATGTCCAACCCTTACGGCAGGGGCGGAGCATATCCACACTTCAAGGAGTATTGGCACAGCAAGACTCTGTCCGCAACACTACCCTACAGCAGCAGAAACGGTGGGTAGAATAGTTGGGGTTCAACCTGTCATCATTCATCCCTGACTATGGCAGATAATATGGTGTGGATCTATGTATGCACAGTGGCATAAAGAGTACTCGTCAAAAATTGGTAGTATGAGAATCTGTTCCCTGCCTGCTTTCTCATCACATGACAGCTATCTAAAGATCTCCTCAGGTATCATTAAGAACAAGAGCTATAGGATTTCATTTCATTGTGGAGCAGTCAAAATCTTGTATCAGTAGAAATACATCTTATACAGGGGGCGACGAGAAGCTAAGTAAAGGAAGTATCATATTACAATATTTCCCCAAAGTATTATGTCATTCTGAATCTCTAAATAGAATGAACTCTTTGATAGTAATCAATTAGCGAAATTTCTTCCTTGGACTCTTGAGTAATGAGAGAGAGTGAATCTGCTCTTTTTCATGTGTACTCAATTATTAACTTTCTAGGAAAGTATTTTTGATAATGAGAAAAAATAAATAGTGATCTCCAAAGAAAATGGAAACCTCAGAGAAACTGAATTTATATTAGAAAGTTTTTCAATATGATGGTTTAACAAACTCTGGGTAAACAAAAGCTGAAAAATACAACTTTATTCAAATGGACCTGTCGAACTTACTCTGCTTTGACTAATGCATGTTTTGATAAATAAGCTTTTTTCAAAAAAGTAAAGTATCAGTTTCAACCTTCAATCTCTGACAAAAAATTCTGCCATCATAAACAAATTATCAGAATTTGGGTTATAATATAATGAATATCCTTGTTCATCTCATTGGATCTTTAAAAGCACTGGGTTTGATGGTTTTGTTTCAGAGATGGTGGTGTTCTATTCTTACGTCTTCTTCTAGGCTTCTCTGACATTGTACTAGTTTTTCTACTTTTCTAGCTGTTTTTCTAACTGCTCTTCCATTTTTCTTGTTGGCTGCTTTTTACCTAAGCCTCTGTTCTTTGCCCTCTGTTCTTCCATATTAAAGTTTTTTAGGATTGTTTAACTACTGTGTACATCTCTTACTTGCCTTCTAAGTGTCTTTTTATCTACCTGAAACATATAATTAGATAAATATTCCATTGATGTATTAAGTACTGAGTCTCTTCTCTCATAAATGACCTTCCTTTTTCTACCCCTTTTTGGTTAATAGTACCAAAACTCACCTGAATGATCTTACTCACTGCTCTCTCACCCTAATTTTATTTAGTTGGTTACTAAGACCTGGTGATTTTTTTTTTTAAGTATAAATTACATCCAGTGAAATGCTCAGATTTTTTTTATGTATACTGTTTAATCAGTTTTGACCTGCATGTCAAGACACAGAACATTTTCATTACCTCAGAAAGTTCTCATGCCCCTTCCCAATCAAAGCAACCATTGATCAGATTTCTGTCACCCTTTTGCTTATTCCAGAATTTCATATAAATGGAATCATACAGTTCTTTCACTCAGCATGTTTTTTTTTTGGCTTTTTTATGTTGCATGTGTCAGTAGATTGTTCCTTTTTATTACTGAGTAGTATTCCATTTGTTTATCCATTTATCAATTGATGGACATTTACCGTATTTGCCGGCGTATAAGACGACTGGGCGTATAAGACGACCCCCTAACATTTCCACTCAAAATACAGAGTTTGTTATATACTCGC